TACCACGGAATCGCCTTAGGCGCTATTTGAAATATTTGAAATTTACCGGGAACACCAGTTAATTTTTGATTGTTCAGTTTCTCAAAAGCAGATGTGTTTTGGGGGTTAAATTTTCTAGTGCTTATATTACATCCACAGAGGCATCCAAATATATCAAAATTGAAAAGAATTATTGACTGTCCATCCAATTTTCAAAATTTCCCAAAATTGTGTATTACCCTTAATAGTGCCACTAATATCTACATGTTCCTCAATGAAGATTTTATGAGACAAGTTTTCAGTCATGGTTTGTATCAAAAATTTTATCTGAATGAAAAGTGTTCCACAATATAAAGCTTCACAGTCCTAGGAACTGAGAGCGAGTGTCAATGGTATGGTGTGTCTCAGGAACAAAATACAAATCATATGAAACCTCTTAACAACAATATCTCTCCAGTATTTGAGGCCTAGAAGCTTAAAGGTCCCGGTCATTATGGGTGCTCTTATAGCCAGGTGGAGGGGATGGAATCCACCCCCCCCCCACATGATCTCAGTATTAATTTTCTTTCTTTTTTTCCTTTTTGAAATGATTGTTAATTAACTATTTGATGTACATTCAGAGAAAGTTCTGCACAGCTATTTTCACACTGTACAAATCAAACTGTATAATTGTTGGTATCAGCAGAAGAGCCTAGGCAATAAAGTCATGACTGCTGCCCCTCCCTCTCTTGGGAGAGGGGGAGGGGCAGCAGAATTCCTCTGGCCCTTTAAGGGTAAAGGGCTGAAAGGGTGTATACCTCTTTGTTGTGTGTCATATTGATGTCTAAGCCCAGGATTACTCAGGATCTTCCATGCTTGGTCTAATCTCTGGAACTCAAATGAACTTACGTCTCTCTCCTCTTCATTTAGTTTGTCTGGATGATACTGAATCAAAGATATGAAAAGAAGGATCTATTAAGGTTTTCATTATATTATTACAGTTTAACAGAACTGAATATCGAGATCTAGAATTGTAACTAAATTCACATGTGCCAAAATAATTTAACTATCGATTTTATGTGACCGAGGTGATCAACAAGGGGTTCCTTTTTAAAAGGACAAAAAGATAATTTTAAATTCCATTTTACATTTGCAGGACAGGCACTTCACATACATGTAACAAGGTGCTTGCCTCATACAATAATTAATGCCAAAGTCATGTATGTGCTTCATGAAAAGATTTTATTTGCCTTCTTGTATCATAAAATGTACAGCAGGTGCACACATGAATAATGATTACATAACATGAGCACGTATTCATCTCGGTGGGTTTTACAATTTTATCAGAAATTACCTTTATCTGCCCATGCGCAGATAGTATTTACGAAATGGCTTTTTGTGTCGAAGGTAATTTTCTTGAAAATATAACATATTTTGTTTTGTACTGATTATTCAACTCTATGCATGTCATGAAGTGATTTTAACTTGCCTATAATTATGAAAAATAATAAAAGCATAACTCTGAAATAATGAGCACAAAAGTCCAGCGTGTGATGTATTTCCATTATCTTTTTTTAATGTGTTCTTTGTACAAAAAATACACCAGTTGCATACATGCATTTCAGAAGTATTTCGAAAAAATTTAAATGACTTTAATAACTTGAAATACCTACATATTAGTTGCTTAGCTTAATTCATACTATCCAACTTAAATCAAAAACTTTTATTGCATAGTACTTTTACTAGAAATACAATACATATTATTACATACAAATCCTTACACAACTAACATTTCTTGTGGATGATGACAGTACAAAAAAGTAATGTATTGTTTACCCAGGGTAGTCTCATCAGTATAAATATTTCTTTCTGAGGGCCCTGCAATCATATTGACACGATTGAAAACATTTGATTATTTCATTCTGTAATATCATTCATGACATATTGTAGGTGACTATAAACATCTTTTGTTTAAAAATGTTTTCAAATGAGATCAAAGGCACACAGAAAATATTGATTAATAAATCGTTTACGTATTGACTGAATGGGACAATACTCGGTCATCTAAATCACTCACCTAAATTTAATGTAGTAGTCCTGATTTAATTTGAATGTTTTACATTAATTTTCAACTGTGACCATAATGTTTTCATAATATAGTTGAATTTTAGTTCATGATTTTAAATGAAATATAATATGCATATTTATTACTTCAATGGAAACTGTTTACTTCAGGAATTGTTGGTTAGTAATAAAAAAAAAAAAATTCTGGTAAGTAAAACAAAACTTCTGGTAAATGTATATATATATATGTTTTCATAAATGTACATGAACAATTGTTCATGTATGCAAATGTATAGTGAGAGAGACTAGAATATTATGTACCTATATGAAAGTAAGGCACCAAGGACCACAAAATTAGATGCCAGAATGAAAGCATATATAACTGAGGAAGACCAAATTCATTCAAACTACTCTCTTGTGTCACTAGCAATGTCTAGTATGTTTAACAACAATTACCAAGTTTCCAGCTTGACTTTTATACCTATGTCACTATTGCTAGCAAAATGATATTCATGTACGTAACCAAATTGAATTAATATCATTGACTTGATGGAAAAAGTATATATCAAAATACCTACGGTAGAATAATTTTGCAATGTTCGAAACGATACGACTTGCATTCAAATTCTTGTTTACTACAGCACCAGATACAAAAAAATATTTAATCTATAATGCACCATTACTGTTATGATCGTTTGTAAAATGTAAGAAAATGATGAATTTATACTTTTATACAATTAAATATCTATACAATGTCTGTGATATTCTCCAAAAATTTAAAATAATTTTGAGCCAAGACAATATTTGCAAGAATGAATAAGTGTTTTCCAGAATGGGGTTAAAGTCCATAAGGCAGATATAAAACAAAAAGACATTTAAGTTAAACAAAATAGCAGAAAACGTTGTTGGAGAGAAAGTTCGAGAAATTCCTCTTTCAAATACATGTAATTCAAATGATTGTCCTTACTAGCAAAAGGAATTCTTACATTTGACATCAAAAATTATTTGTTAAGAATCATAATCTATATACACATAATGTTCATCTTAATATTCACCTGTACAAATATATTAAATAATAATGCATCGTATTTACATCTATCTTCCAATATCTTAAAAATATTATTAGCCATATCTATTTAAGACATTAAAGACTTCATTATTTCTCATGTAAGTATATCCTTTCTTTTTCACTGTTTTCTAACAAATTTCTTCTGAGATATCATCTACACTTCAACTGCATTCAAATACATGAAAGATAATGCTCTCTTTTTGTGTTAACTTTGCAATTAATTTTTTTTTTTTTTTTTTTTATAGATTGCAAATCATGATCCAATTATACAAAAAAAAAGCATTTCAGTTCGTCATTATTGGATATATCAGTACAATTATACCATTGTCACAGTTGTACAGTTATGAAAAATGTCCTGAATCTGGATTTTTCCCATTTGGGGGGGGGGGGGGGGAACTTTCATCTACTGTACATACAAAAATATGAATGCATACGAAGCCCAAGATCGAAAAAAAAAAAATCAATGAATATGAAGTTGCATACATCAGTTCATAAGTTAGGTATATGTTGATAAATTTGTTGAACATTATCATAATATATGAAAGAGAAAAAAAATGATCCATGAGTATTTGTTCAGAAATTTCATGAGTTCATCAAAACTCTTGTATATTAGAGTGCATTGTTAACTTGAATTCCTCCACTTGAACATAGATACCCACTATAATGCAACTCTCCCCCCGTAAATGTACATGTTGTTAGATAACAGGACTCGTTATCATTGTATTGTTGTTGAATGTTTATTTAATAGTCAATAAATATCAATTGGCATATGTAAACATAACATCCTTATTCGCACATCTCACCAAACGGGTTATGCCCGCATTTGGATATTCAAAATTAGCATAAATTAACATAAATGCTGAAATAAAAATGATCAATATCTTAAAAGATAAAGAAAGCAAAGATGACTATACAAGAATAAATAATTATATATCAACTACAATGGAATTCTAATACACTAAATATGTCTTATGTACGATGTTGCTTTAAAAAACAACATAACTTATCAAACAGGTGGGAGATTGCTTCCAGTAATGACTTTAAATGTCACATTAATATAATGCCCTGTTAATGCATTAGGGTGAGTCCTACACAGAGATTGTTTAGTCCATTAATACAAAACAATTCTCCTTGTAATAGAGGAATCTTATTTATTTTTTATATTTTTTATAATTGCATCCTATTGATTCGCGGGCAACATTGCTCAGTTCCACAAGCTGTCCTATAAATAAATGTTTGAAGGGATTCATCATGTAGACTTTGATCCAACACCAACAATAAGCAATGTCTTACTTCTTGTAAAACTTCAAATTTACGTTTTCTTTTATCATTAATTAACACTGCTATGAACACGATTATTAATATTAACAATGGCCACTTATGTAGCGCTTGTAACAGTCATGCAGTCATGCTTGTGGCCTTTAGATATTATTACTCTGGTTATAGCCGAAGTACGGAAGCTGCCAAAGTAATTAGCGCCCAAGCATATCAGGTACCCATTTGCACTTGGGTGAAGAGTGGCAAATGTAGATTAACGTCTTGCTAAAGGAGGTTAGTGGCAGGCTGGGATTTGAACCCCGTACCTTGTGATCTACAGTCCGGTGACTTATCCACTAGACCACCATACCTTTCTTGATTAACCATCATTTAAAAGGACAGGGACTCCATGCACTGTGCCTGGAAAATGAATAACCAGCTAAGGTTTGCATGAACATAACGGCGGAATTACATCCTTAAAGGGGTAAAATAAAGAATTATTAAAGGGGGGGGGGGGAGGACAGCATCAGTGATTGGCAGGGAACGACTGAGTAACAGGGGACATGTTTTAGAGACGTCAACCTTCTCGCGGCCAACATTCAGTTTCTATCTACAATTCTTTTGACTTGGTATCCATTGGACCTTTCCTTTCTTCACATATTCAGATCCGCGCTAGGATGCCGTGCTCATCACAAAGAGCAGCGTTTTATTGGTTTATTTGTAATGACAATACAAAGGGCATTTCAACTTGTCTATCGAAATACCAAGACTTACAACATACATGTTTGTCTTTTCCTTTATTCCATCCTTAGTTCTTTGCTCTCATTCTATTGCCAAATCTTGCATGTGTAAAAACAATCTTTGAAATAACAAATTTTGATTCTTTTTTTTTGTTTTAACTCAAAAATATTGAAAATCACTGGTTTTCCACATTTTTCAATATTGTGAAGAAAACCAGCAATTACCTCCGTACACATCTATCAAATTCTACCAATAAAACACTAACAACTCTCTCGTACAAAAAAGGGGGCGGGGGAAAGAAGAAAAATTCCTTCTTTCAAGCATCCCCTGTATTCACAACTCCAATGTCCAATGCACTACAAGGTCAGAGGTTATGACCTTTGACCTCTTGTTCTCTTTCGGGCTCGGAATGACGTCTGACATCTCAAACATATCCTAGTGTCATCATCTCACTGCCAAACCTAGCAAAATAAAAGACAAGAAACAAAGTAAAAAATCAATAACAATTTTTATGAAAGAGATAGATTGTCTGCTAAGAGCGTGAAGTCTGTAAAACAACAAATTCAAAAGAGCTATTAGATAATGTCGTAATGGTTCTCAACAAACGCTACAAAATTATTAAAAGAATATGAAGAAAACAATGCCAAATTGTTTGCATCGCACTGGATGCGTTTGGGAATATTCAGTCATTTAGTCATATGTTACATCTCTATTACAATTGTTTCACCTTTTCTTTACATTATTCCAATAAAATTTATTTTTGCACAATGCTATTCTGGAAAGCATCTCAGAAAACCATCACACAAGTTTAACCATATTTGTGGCATTGATATGGATGTCTCAAAATTGGTAAAATGGTAAGTTGGTGAAATTAGAATTCTCATTCAAGATTAATGCAGGACATTAACAAAAGATACAAATTCCAATCATTGGGTTTAATACAAACAAATCTTTCAGGTGGCTAAGAGCAATCTACACAATGTACATAAACACAAACACAACTACAGTGAAATGATATATGTAAATATGTACGGTACTCTACATGAAGATAACTACCAAGGTCCACAATATATTTCTCTCCCCCCTCCCCCTAAAAAAAAGTATAAAATCAACATTAGCACTAGCTCATGTGTGGACCATATGAAATAATTGAGTAAAATCATCACTTTAGATCGTGATCAACATTTCTCATTTCCTATTCCAAAATTCTGCTAAAACTGGGCATTTTCAAATAATGTACATCTTGAAAATGCATGCATATTCCTGTAGACTTTTTTTTGCTTGCAATTGCTTAATATGTAATACAAAGCTGTCACACCTGAATGTGCAGTGGGCTCACCCAACTATTGACCCATTTTTATCTGTGTCTTAATGTTTTAAATAAAAATATTCCTCCAGCCTTTTTAAATCAAAATATCAGACAGATAAGGGAATCTTTAGTCTCTAAACACCCCCAATATAGTCCCAGGTCTAAACAGCATGCATGAACAAGATGAAAACATTCAAATGTACACGGTTTCTACTCCACCTTTACTGAGCTGTCAACGGCTCCTGAAAACAAGCGCCCTCTCGAGACGGCCAGACAGGCCACGCTACCCTGATGTCTGATCAGCGTCTGGGTGCAGATCATATTCTCCATGTTCCATACCTGAAATTGGATTTAACAAATATTATTGGTAAAAGATTATTGAATACTTGAGTCCTTGAGCAAGGCATGTTATCTACATTGCCCTCTCTTCACCCAGGAGTTAAAGGGGAAGTCCACCCTGAAATTAAGTTAGTTTTAATAGGAGTAGAAAAATGAGAGAAACAAGTCAGTGAAAGTTTGAGCAAATTCCGATTAAAAATAAGGAAGTTAGGATTTTTGAAGTTGTGATCAATCAAACACAAATTGGCAACTCTATGACGTATCATGCGAGCTCAACTTCCATTTGCTCAGTACTAAAAAAATCTAAAATTTTCATTTTCCCTCAAGAAAAATTTCAACCATACATGCACCCTAAATATAATAATTGCAAATATGTTTCTATACTCCCCCTGCAAGGAACAAATATATATTCCGTCATCAATAACGAAGAAAACATGATTTTATGGAATATTATGCACAAAGCAAATGAAGGAGAGCTCGTATAATAAGTCACAGAGTTGCCAATTTGTATTTGATTGATCACAACTTCAATAATTCATAACTTTCTTATTTTCATTCAGAATTTGCTCAAACTTTCACTCACCTGATTTTCTTATTATTCTGCCTCTATCGAAACAAACTTATTTTGGGGTGGACTTTCCCTTTAAATGGGTGCCCTATAGGATGCAAAAGTTAATGTGATTGGATTAGTGTGTGAGCACCCGTTAAAAGGTGTTTGGCTGGAATGTTCCTTCAGTGGAGTGGAGAGTGTGTGCTGTTAAGTGCAGGATTATAAGTGAATCACATGAGACCAATGTAATAATCATACTGTAAAAGATTTGCTTGTTCCCTCAGTGGAGTGGAGAGTGTGTGCTGTTAAGTGCAGGATTATAACTGAAGCACATGAGACCAATGTACATGTAATAATCATACTGTAAAAGATTTGCTTGCATAAATGATAAAGCGCTTTTGATACACGTAACAGTCATTAAACATACTGTACATTTTCAAAGGGTGACTTAGGGAAGAGTTGGGTTCCAAACTTGTATGCTCCTCTATCAAAACAGTGTATGTGCAACAATAATGATGGAACATGTTATCAGTTACAACTGCCATAGATCTTTGACAATGTCATGCCCTCTGAAATTTCTGGAGAGCAGTAGTTATGGCGAACATTGTGACTTGTTACTGAGAATAATTGTCATGAAACATGGTCTACAGATGATTTATTTCCACCCAACAGCTCATCTACGATCATTACTTACCCTTAATGACCTATCATATGAAGCACTGAAGACCTTAGTCATGCCCGGTGCACTGATGACGGCTAGAGCATAGACGGTACCAACGTGTCCAGTTAGGGTCTCTACTTGGGTGTATTCATTCTTATCCCATACCTTCATGTAAAAAAAAACATCAGAAAAGAAAAGACGGAAGAGTGAGTCACAGAATATCTCAAGATTAGGATGATACATTGCACATACAAATATCGCATGATCACCTTTTTCATTGTATGACATACATATATATGTCAGGTTTTTATACATGTATTGTCTAGTGACAATTGTTCTGCTGTTGATTTCTAACACTACTCTCAACTTGACCCTGGACTATTTGAATTCTAAACCTTACCTAAGATTGCAACTTAAGCTATAATTCTACAACATTGACGTAGCAAAGACTGGAGTGAATGTTAGATCACCCCGATTTCACTTAAAGTTCATTATACAAGTTTAAAACAATTATAAAGATACCTTCCCCCTTTACTAAACAAAGAAGTCTTTCTGATAGTCGCTTGACCTCCAGCATCAGCCTTACATAATTCCGTCTGGTTATTTGATCTTATCAAGAAAGATTTCAAACTGACAATAGCCAAAGCTCTATTTAGCCCTGACCCATTCATAAACCTAATTAAACATGACAATAACCTATCCAGTAGACAATAGCAAGAGAAATTGTCCACACAAGTTTAAAACAACATCTTGACTTTAAAGGTCATCATGTGATCTAAAAAGCATTAAAATTGATGTAGTATATCAAAATGTCAAAATCAATGAAATCATAAGTGTCATGCACAGACTTTCAAGGAGCAAATTATCAGAGCTTACAAGTTTTTTCCCCACCAGCCAAATGGGGCTATCAAGTTATTATTGCACTAAAAATATGCCCAATTGTTTGAGTCTAACATTTAAAGAAAAAAAAATCCATATTTTGGCTAATACGATATTCAGTGCTTTGTCACACATGCTCTAAGGGATCGGGTAGGTTACTTTGTAATCCTTGGCACATTCAGTATAGCGGCATATTTTTAAAGATTGTCTTGACTCACGTGTATGCAGTTCTCGTACGTTCCAGCGATGATGTGATGGTTGGTGATAGCGATGGAGTAAACACTGCCCCCACTTGTCTGCAGACTGTGTACAATCTCAAGCGTGTTCAGATCCCATACCTACAACGAATGATACAGCGGAGAGAAAATGTGTAATTACGAATGTAGTATAACTCTAGCAAAGCTAATGTCTTCTCCGCTTTACAAAGACTTGCGACTACTGGTAAACTACAACATACATAAAGAAAAAATTACATGATTTTATCTATCAACAAGTAATATGGAATGTTCTGAAGTTTATTCACTATTGAAAACTCAATGTAAGAGCTAGGTGGGCATACATGCTTTAATTTCATTTTGCATAACGTCAACACCCTTGTAGCTCTTAACAGTCTATATTCATCTAATCTATACATGTATGTTCAAATGTGCATAGAAGAATTAAAGAATTAGTACACTGAAGTTTAAGGTGGTTTGTACATTTATTCATTGGACAAAGTCCTGGCTTTTCTTTGCAAGAATTTGTCCTCACCTTAATTGTCTGATAGGAGCCACTGTATAGATAGTTGCCGTTAGCGACCAGCGCCCTGACCCAGTGGTTGAGTCCGGTGAGCTCCCTCTTGAGTTGATGCGTGTGCAGGTCCCAGACCTTGATCACCTTCAGCGAGCCGCTGAAGAGCATGTTGTTTGCTGCCACCAACGTGCAGACAGGGTTCTCATGAGCGTTGATGGTCTTCTCGACTTCCAGGGCATCAATGTTCCAAACCTAAATCAGAAACAAAGATGTTTATGGTATTACAATGAATATTACTCCCATTTTTTGCTCAAGTTATTTCCATATCCACCTCTGGTATGACTGTTTATGTGCATACAAGTATGTGATGCGGCATTACACATCAAAGAAAAGATAGGACTTATATGTTCAGGCCAGCCTGTTGCATAAAAATTTACCACTGATGATAACTTTGTCATCAATATTAACTACCATGGCAACATTCCTCGACAGCCAATGCAATGGGGCACTGAATTACAAGTGATACGTCCTTAGCGTATTTTCACTGCTTTTGAGGGTGATAGTATTTCCTGCTGTTCTTCCTTCTCTCTCTATCTCTCCCTCTCTGCTTTGGTCTCAATTGATGCACGTTTCTCTCTCTCTCTCTCTCTCTCTCTCTCTTTCTTTCTCTCTCTCTCCCCTCCATCTCTCTCTCTCTCTCTCTCTCTCTTTAACATTATTTTATTAACATACCTACGTTAGACCTCTGACATGAATTCAAACTAAATTCAAATAAACAGCTACCATTTAAAAAAAAAACATAATGACTTAAATCCTGAAATAATTTGAACTTACCATAATGGTACAATCTGCAGATCCACTGTACAGACGGTTTCTGTTAATGTAAGGAAAGAAAAATCAAAGTGGAAATTTGGGTAAGCTTGCAAAGTTATTATGAAATGTAATTTTCTTAAAAGTTTCGAAGTTGTACTGATTTTACATTTATAGCATCACTTTTAGTTGGTAATCACATCATTTGGAAAACCTTTCTAAACTTCTACTGGTTATTACTGGTACTCTTTTTTCTTCATTGAAGCTGATAATACATGGGTCCTAGCATCAATAAATTGTCCTCATATCGAAATACTTCCACAAGCACAGTCAAATTAAACTGAATTATGACACACACCCATTTTATTCACCTCTATGAGGTACTGTAAGAAAAGATAGGACCAGGGGGGTGTTTCACAAAGACTAAGATCGACTTTAAATTGGACTTAACTATAGCAGGTCGTTCATGCCACTGTTTTCTCTCATCATATACTGGCATCGGTCTCTCGAGGGACTTACAAATCATGGTCACATATCTACAGAATTGAAGGGGAAAAATGTTATCTAAAGATCATAATTTAGAGACCAATGGTGAGAGCAACCAGTGGCATGAATGGCCTGCCATAGTCACGTCCAACTTAAAGTCGATCTTAGTCCTTGTGAAAAACTACCCAAGACAGGTGTATTCTCTGACAATCCCAAAACCGTAGTAAGGACATACCCATGGGTGCATAGAGCCAGGACGATGCCGTTGTGACCCTCCAGCGTCTTCTGACACGTGTAGTTGGTGCAGGTATCCCAGGCCTTGATGGTCTTGTCCGAGGAACCACTGAAGAGGAGGTCTCCGAAGACACAGAGACACCAGACGGGACCCTGGTGTCCTACGAAGGTTCCCTTGCACTTGTACACCTGCTGTGGGTCATAGGCTGCAGGAGAGGGAGAGAAAAAGGGAAGGACCATGGTTAAGGATGGCTTGCCATTTACATCTAGAAGGAGGAGGCCCGATAGCTCAGTTGGTAGAGCAGTGGTCTCGTAATCCGGTGACCGGGGTTCGAAACCAAGTTGATGCGCCAGTGCTTTTTGCCGAGACATTAATCCTCATTTAATACCAGGTCCTTCAGAGAGGCCATAAAGCCGTCGGCTGTCTGGTTGCTTACTGCATTTATGCTTTCTTAGCAGTCAGGTAAAATAACCACCACCACATCTAGGATCTAGCCCCAATCTTAATTTGCTGAAATATGACTGTGGGAATAAATTGTGAATATACATGTACAGTATAAACATGTATGTTTCTTAATAGCAGTCAGGTAAAATAACCACCATTAAACCAAACCAAACCTCGGGCCTCTGATGCAGCTACATGTACATGTACATGTATTTTGGTAGCAGTGGTTTGCAGAACCTGGTAGATATTGATCAAGCCACAGCAATACAAAATGTAAACCCACACTGTTGACAGAACAGTCTTATATATACTCCTCTAACTGTTCAGTAGTTTTTTCCTCCAATTTTAAGAAAAATTCAATTTTCATATGAATCAATCTGGATATAATACATTTTTCTGCTTCAGACATCGATAGGGTGTACGAGAATTCAAGAGTAAGTCAGTACACAATTTTCTTTTATTAACATTTCTCAACATGATGACCCGTTACCTGAGGTTACTGACCTTGCAACCTCACATACCATCGATGATGTCATGCACTCACATTCACCGCATCAATCAGCAGGCCCATTTTATGATACCTTCCTCTTTCAAGCGCAAACCGCACACACATACCTGCACGGCACCCTCCACACGCTTTTCAAATGCACCGACCTAATACTTCCTTACTAACAGGAGGCCGAGTGTTTGTGTTTCAAACATTTGATACTCAGAAGGGGAAACCATGCGAGTTTGCGAGAGGACGTAATGAATTAGACGCTGGAAGAGTCAACGGTTGGTCTGTGGTGGTATACAAGGGGAATGCCCCGTGCTTGAGAGCGTAACGCCAGGGGGGTTATCGTGGGGTGTGTGATGTGGAAGACTGAAACGTATCGGGGGGTCATGAAGGCTACCGAACTATCACGGCAGGATCTATAAACAGTCGAGGTGTTTGATCGTAGGAGGAAAAGCTAGCGGAGGAGGAAGCTGGTTGGACTGAGATAATAAAACATTGTAACCTCTTTAAATGACATAGAGGAGTAGCTTATTTGTAATAGAGATAAATATCCCTAGATATATTCAAAGGAGAAGATAAATATCAATAAAAAATTTACACATTTATTCACATTATACCAGTATAAATCTCCTATTTCTTAGTATCACAACAATTCATACCTGTAGTGTGTACAAACAAGAACCTTGCAATTATATTTCTCCAAACAAATCTCTCTCTTGTTTGAAATCTAAATCTTAAGATTGCATGATGTAGGAGCCGGGGAAGTGGGAAAACAATTATTCACTTTGTAAATAGCTCTAAAGGTTGATACATTAAAGAAAAATGAAACGCACGTACAGTCCAGTGTCCACTTATGGACTGTATTTACCTACAACAGTAAAAAACTGAAAATTGTTAATAAACCCACTCAATTACAACAGGCAGACAAAAACTTTGCACAATATTCAATGATCTGTCATACGGCCAGGGTGATATAGTGGCTCATTCACACACAAAAAGGGAAAACCTCTGAGTTTCATTTGCTTAATTCTGTAGATGAATTGCAAGGAAGGATGAAAAAAAAAGTTTTATTTCTCTTTCTTTCTACATTCTCATGTAGAAAAAGTAGAATATGCGTGTTATAAGATAAAGAAATGTGACACTTACAGTGCACAGTACGTATTTCACTTTCGTCATTATAAAAAAAATTGAAAGAAATAAAACGGTTTATCTCATACTGTGTGAATGAACAACCCTCGGAGTGAAAGACTTAGACTTCATGTAAAGGAAAAGGAATCATGCTTCATGGCAAAGAGCCAATAGCATTCACCTAATAGGAAAGCCTCAACATTCACACATGGTTGCAAACCTAAGTAATAAAGTCATCAACCCATTACAAATATTAATTTTTTCTGACACACTTAAGACCTATCCTTTTCGTTGCCGGCTATTGACTGGAAACAGAAACTAATCCCTAAAATCAATATTTTCATTACCATCCAGCGGAAATCGACCCAGCGCTGACTTGAAGACTGTATGGGTATCAAGTAACGTGGGAGATTTGCCCCGCAAATCCCCTTTTCAAAAATAATTTAGATTTCTCGAACGGAACGTGTTTGTGAAGTTTTGAACTAGCGGTAAATCCCATTTAATCCTCTGTCCCTGACGTTCCCCCGCACGTAACGTACGCATCATGGTGATGTCATTCCACTTTTGCTCATTCTGTTTATTGACCCCTGAAATCAGCAGTGACATGTTTATTTCACCTCTATGGCTTTTCATAGATGAACCAAAGAAACAAGACAGAATATGAAACACTTTCAATAGCTCTCAAAAGTTTCATGTTTCACGAAACCAGTTTCAGAAGAAGTCATGTTCCCCTTATTATAATACCTATCTTGGGTAAGAAAAAGGCAAAACACTCCAACTAACCATCTATGATCTATTGAGATTTTTAAAAAACATTGTCTTGTCCCTTTCTTGTCCCTGTTGGCATCCCCCTTTTTCTTTCCCCTATTTTGTAGTTCCTTTTGTAGTTACGGATTAGTTAATATAATTACTCTTTATTCCTAAGTATCATTTGAGGTGTTCACACTTGTACAAGCATTGGTTTTAGTGGACCCCTCTGTTTCCAACATGTATTTCTTACATTTGTTTTAAATGCTTATAATTGATTTGTAATGTTTTGTTGGAAACATGAATAAATTGAAATTGAAATTGAATTGAAAGCCATACACAAGAAATCATCACTAAAACTGTAACAATTCAAAATTTAATAAATTTAATATAATCTCTCCCCCCCCCCCTCTCTCTCTCTCTCTTCTCTCTCTCTCTCTCTCTCTCTCTAGAGATAATATTTTTCACTTATAGATATTCTGATTATAAAGCCACAAATCATTGTACAAGATTTTAAAGACCAAACTCATCAGGAAAAACTTTTAACCTGTCCTGACAGTGGTTAACTACTAAAGAGTCACAACATATAGTCTTGTTTCACAATGCTATCATATTTTCCCGCAATCATCCTTAATCACCCTAACTCTACACACACATTGGTCACAGCAGGAAATCGGTCTCAATCATACTACGGACATAAAAGTTGCATACATCTCAAAATATATTTTCAATTCTTACACCAGAGCAATTAAAATTACACGGTTTCTAAAAACAGATGCTCATTTAAAGGAAAATATTAATTTCTAACAATTTATGTGGTCTACTTTAATTGTTGAACATGTCTTCAGCTGATATCAGAGAAGCTAAAGTTACATGATTTTCTGAAAATAAGTGCTCATTTTACATAAAGATATATAGATGAAAACAAAGTATTTTTCATTTCATGTACCCATGGAGAACTTGACCTCGCGAGGAAACCTCAGTCTGATACCACAAGGACTATAAATCATTATTAGCGGTGTAACACTAAACTACATGTAAGGCAACATTGACGAGCCCAGTGGAGTCTTTTCCTAATTAAATAACTCTGTTTTGTCTGATGCAGTCATTTCTTCTTAGAAAAAGAAATTATCACTGAGTAGTCAGTCTTAGCATGCAGGAAATGGATTATAATGAGATTCTACATGTGCCAATCAACAAAGTCTTGAATCCTTCGCATGATCGAGCTATGCACTAAAAAAATGAACATTCAATGTGATATTTCTCCCATAAAATTTGGCACATCAGAGCAAACCATTGATACAATGTTTCAAAATGCATTTCGAGTACTATTGAATGAGGATATATCTCTATTTAATCTCCAAGAAAAAGTGTTAATTTTCAATACTGTGATTGACCTTTGACATGCTGCTTTTCTAAAGTCTTTGTATTATAGTAAAGAACATAAATCAATAAATCAAATCAAATCAAATCAAATAATGAAGCTCATGCATGGACAGGCATACATTTACATATATAGCTAGTGTTGGTCAGTTCACGTCTCGTTTGTGAAAATGTGCTCTGATTATGAGCGATTTCCAAACACAAACGCAAATTTCCTGTTCCTCACTTTTGAGAAATTTAATCATCCCTCCTTGATGAGTACATAGTGACCAATCTCTGGACTAGTTTTGGGGAATGACCACAGGAAGACTTAGAGTGACCTGCTGGTTGGTGTGTGGGAAACTTAATCAGCAAACAATTAATTTAAAGTGTTGAAAACAAAGCCCACTTTAATGGCTGCTCCTACAACTTGATATAACACTTGCATATTGTGGAAACTCATTGCCCTCCCCATCCATAACTTATGTAAACCGTACAAGAACTTTCATAACTTGTACAGAAAGGTCACGGCAGAATTAGAATCTAGATATTGAAAAAATAAAAAATCTGACTAATATGTATGTCAAGTTCTGTTTTAACAGATGTATGTGTTCTTTTGAATTTCATGTCCATCAAAATCATCCAAACTAGCTGAAGTGAATTACTACATCATCCTATCAATTGATTTATATGTCCCTGAGATTCAATGAAATTCTTATTTTTAATTCTACGAGTTGAACATTTATCAGCTTATAAATTGAATTTGTCTGGGTGTACATGAAAACAGGACGCATCAAGTGAGTCAGCAACTTTAGCTGTCAAAACGCACAGCTTTCATAAAGCGCAATCACCCTTTCTAACGCCTCATAATTCAACACTGCCACTCTTAATCATTGGAGGTGTGACCATATGGCCAAGAGTACGAGATATAATCTCATGATTTGATTGGTCGTTAAATTGGATAATAAGAATCTGATTCTTGACTTTAAAGTGTGCCAATGGGCGCATGTGATGGCAATTTGGGGGAATTTGTCAACATCTTTTTTGAGGGGGCAGGCTGGTGTTTCCAATTTCATCTTGTCAAGAATGAACTGTCAAACTTTAATGCATCTTGACTCTTGAGACACACCTTGTCCAGTCTGACCAGTAAAGGTCCATCTTGAAGAATATTTGTGTTCCTCAAGGCACTGTTATGTCACCTCATCACACACTTTCGCATAATGCTTCCATTGTGTCGAAATGAGATAATCAAATGAGGCATGATTAATGAAAGCTAAATGTAGAAACAATATTTCAAGGGTCTGGTTAAGATTGCTATATTCTCTTCCTCTATCCATCCATCTTTCTCTTTCTCTCTCACCCTCTTGCCTCCACCCCTATCTGCCTCTTTCAGCCTCTCTTTCCTTCTTTTCTTTCTTTCTATCAAGGAACGTGTTACCTAATCTTGGTTAATGCCCGGTGTCCTTGGGTCTCAATTAGATTGGGAAAGGTGTGGGCGTGCCCCTCTGTCGTAGTTTGCTGAATCTGGGGATCAATTGTCCAGGGGCTTGGACCCTAAGCTTGCTGTCTATCTTGATAAACGCCAGGTACGGAGAGGTAGATCGGGAGGAGTTATTTTATCTTTTCATGCAGTCTGAGAATTATATTTTCTAATCCTTCCCCTCTTCTTCCTCTTCTTCCTCTTCTCCCTCTTCTCCTTTGTCCTCTTCTTTTTTTTCAGGTGGGGGGGCTTTGTAAAAACCAATAAGTACTAGAAGAGTACCGGTACTTTTTTTTTTTTTTTTACATCTTCCACAGCAACGATAATACGCCAACGGCGGTCTGTACTTAAGTGGAAGAAGAAGAAGAATTTATAAACCTATATAACATCTATTGCACGCCAGAAGGGCATTTCAATTGATAATCAATTTACATAGTGTTAACGCCCTTCTGGCTATCAGCACATCACAATATGGAGTTGAACATTATCAGACTATCTTTAAATCCATATGGAGGGGAGAGTAGAATTAATGACATTCTATTTTTTTTCTCCAAACTTTAAAAAAAAATCTATCCATGTTAAAACAACCAGCAGCAACAACAACAACAAATTAACTGTGAGGAGAAAATCGATAATCAATAAAGATTTCTCAGTCAATGCCCTCGGCATTGTTCATGCACATGGATGTTCAAACATGTGTACTGTAAAATTGAGTGACAAATTGAAATCAAAGGCAACTAATGTTGAGATTTGGCAAGAGTAAGGGAAATAAAATGAAACCCATATCAGTTTACATTTGATTTGATTGGAAAGCCCTAAAACAAGAAGCTAATGCCAAGAGCAATTTCACATATGAGGATGGAATGACGGATCCTAACATAAGTGTTGTGTTATCATCAGTCGCTTGTTCCAAATTTTAAACCATGTTAAGTTGTTTTAGGTGAAACCCCTTTAATACTTGATATTCAGCACATGTTTGTGGGGGCATTGAACACTATCAAAGGGAGGAAATATCTAATTTCAACAAAAATAGTCAATGATAATAAAAACAAAACTAAAAGAATAAAATGTTGCACATTGCTTTTGTTATTTCCTATTGTGAACTCATAAATGTAGGTCAGATATTGTAGGTCATTGAAAAAGTTTCTTATTTTTGCTTGTAATGGAATGGATTTTGAATAGAAGTGAACATTTCAAGGTTAAGAGGGTGTTTCTATCTCCTCCCAGCCTGAAATATATTTCAAGTATAAAATTGCTTTGAAAGGTCTAATGAACTTCATGTTGTAAAAATACATTTGAAGCATAGACTGTCCAAAAAGTCTTTCCAAAAAAGTAGAATTCTGTTATGCTTTAGATATCAATTCAGTCTCCGGAATGTCCTTATTCACTGTATTTTAGGGTTACAGTCAGATATCTTGCCTGGAAGAATAATGAGAACTGCTATCATATCTAAATGTTGGGACAGGTACAGTATTTGGGGTCATTCACACAACAAGACAAAGTTAGTTATACTGCCTGCAATGGAATAGATCTAGAATGGATGTGAACATCTCAAGGGTATGAGGGCGTTTCTCGGTCCTCCCAGTCTGAAATATATTACTCCTAGCAGCACTTGACTTTAATACATCGGAATATGTATGTCTCTCAAGGGGCTTTCTGAAAATATAACATCATGTCAATATTTCTTTTCTAGCAAATTCCCCATTCCTTTTAATTTGGCGGCCAACGTCTACAGTGCTTACTTGCATAGGTTGAGTGGAGTACTAATAGGCATTATAATTACATCTCAACATTGGAACGGAAATTTGGGGTCATTCACACAACAAAACAAAATTAGTTATACTGCCTGTAATGGAATAGATCTATAATAGATGTGAACACATCAAGGGTGTGAGGGTGCTTTCTCTCTCCTCCCAGCCAGGATGAAATATATTTTCTTGGTTTAGAAATAAGTTGAAATAAAAGGTATGTCTTCTACACATTACAAAATAGAAAATGACTTAAAAACCGCCCCCCCCCCCCGAAAAAATTGCTTTAGATACCATTCTATGCCAGAATATTATTTCCCCCCCCCCCCCTATTCAGATGATTAATAATAACTGGGAATTACCGTCATAAGTCCTGCAAGCCAAACCTACAACAAAGTTCTCATACATGAACACAACACAACATGAACTGTTTTCAGGTTGATTTCCCCCTTGTGTCCATGTGATAGAGATAATAGCTGCCCACATCATAAGCGTCCACATGATTAGGGATAATGGCTGCCCGTGTCCATCGTCACGTTTCTCTGATTGCGCAGATATTGCATGGGTGTGGCGCTTTTTAATGTAGATCCCGTCCATGGGAAACATTTCATTTACATCAGATTACAGGTACATGAACACATCAGCCATTAAATCATTTTTTTTTCTCTCTCACAGATTTAAATGCTCATTTAAATTCATTTCTTTTTAATATGTCTGGATTATGGGTGTAACCGTGAGGGAAGTTATGCTATTTTGGTGGCGAAAAACATGCCTAATTTCTTATAAAATGTATATTTCATAAAATCAGCTAATCACATGAGGAAAATCAAATAGCAGTCGATGAAGGCCTTACAAGACATGAATTTTGAAACAATGTTTAATATCATTTGTCCTACAGGTGTTTTTGTGAGACGAGTTTCAATTTTCATCCTCTTTCTTCAAACTTCAGCCAAATTTTTGCATGATGATAAGTAAAAATGATCATAATCAATGAATCTAGCTTTTCATAAAATCATTTCTCCACAGTCAACTGAACACTACCTAGATCTATGAACAGCTTTGAATAATTGATCACATGGTCTATTTGGAGCCCTAAAGGTCATTTACTCATATCCTTCAACATAGGGTCAATGCCCTTCTGTCTCTGAACATATGATATGCCCACATCACTTCCGTTCCTAGCTTAACCGATTGACTGCCATGAGAAGGTTGACTATGTGAGCTTACAGATTGGCTTAATCTTGTGAGACTCAGGGGGTTAAAACTTAAGGTTTTTTTTTTATCTATTAAAGGTACAGGTAGGGGTATAAATAAACAAACAGGAGAGTTTGATCTCTCTAAATGAATGAATAAATGAATGAATGAATGAATAATCCTTCTTTTTTTTAAAGAAATTAAAACCAGCAGAAATTGAAATAAATCTTTATCAAACTGTCCTTTAAAAGTCATCAAAATATTCACAATCTGAACCTAATGAACAGATACTGACGAACAAGCCATTTTTCTACCTTTAAGAACAATGGTCTCAAAATACACAAATCAGGCTTCAAAAATATTAATCACTTCCTATTAAAGTAAATGAAACTTTGAACTTGTGGAAAATCATTTCACATTTCTCTACTACAGACCTCCTTCTCACAGATTAATAATCTTCAATAACAAAAGCTGCACTCTTTATCATTTAGAAAATTATGGTGTCAAAAAACTACCAACTTTGAGAGCAAGCTATATAAGGAGCACATAGACTAGTCTTACCTCCAGCCGCTCCTGAGTTGAGCCTGGCGTTAATGACGGCCAGCTCTCTGTTGACCATTGTGTAGTTTCTCTCGTGGTCGATGACCTCCTCCGAGATCGACCTCTGGTTCTCGTCCAGGTCGACTGTGGATGAAGAATAGGAAAGTGAATCATGAAGGTTTAACCCAATTGATCTTCATAAAACACATACATATATTTTCACTGGGATTCATTTACTCAGGTTTAGCATGAACCCATCACCTTTCATTGTCTAGAACTCTTTACAGTATTTTTTTCAAGATGTAGAGAGGTTATAAAAATACATACCTATATGTCAGGCAAGGTTGTTACTTTCAATTGTGTCACACCATTGGTATAAAACATACAGAACAAAAATGTGAGCCCTTTTACAAAACACATGTATATAGTTCCATTATATATTTTACATATATGATGTCTACTGAGCAAATTGTTAATTTGAGCTGTACAATCGAGGACTAGAGAAGAAACTATTATAAACGATACATCCATTATTTGCTCCTACATAAATAAAGTCTTTACAAAGGTGAAGATAACAGGACATCTAGTAAACTTACCAATCGTCTTCTCCACTCGGTTGATATTTTCGTCCATGTAGTCTGTAGGGGGTGATATAAGAAGACGAAACATAAATTGGCGTGATTCATCCAAGGGAAGAGGAAAGTTTAGAAAGCTGTCATTTTTCACAATTACAATAAATGTACATCTCACAGCATTCTCTCGATAAAAAAAGAGATGTGTTACGACATTTATAGAGGGTTGTATATTACCAAGGATAGTAATATACAACCCTCTAAAACCAGCACCTTTGGTATACACAATATACACTCATGAACTACCAGAGCATACCTAGTTGCATGCATAATTGGGTGTAGTTCATTAGAAATTAGGTACAAAAGTGTGACTGCTTTGAGGAGCATGGTTACAAATATTGCCTGATGTTTAATATCTCCACATGGGTTAATCACCGAGATGAAGGCTATTGCATATACCACATTTATTTAATTAATCACAAATAGATAAGAAATAAAGAAGACAAGATTGAAACAATTATGCACAATTTTAATACATGTACAGTACCATACAATTATAGCAAGAAAACAGAACATCAAGTACAGAACATCTCATGCACAAGCAAACTTTGAAGAAAAGATATTTCTGACAAAAGTACACTGTATTATTACAAATTGTAGTTATACAAAATAATTTCATATATAATAACGAAAATCAGAATGTAAACACAGCTCTTCGTCTTCTCTATTGGAACTTACCAGTTAATTATTCAAAACTTAGAAGAGAAATACAAATATATCCAGAAGATGAGAAAAGGCAAGTTCGGCAAGCACAGAGAGCGACCTTAAAATTTGTTGGTAGAGGAATATCGCCTGATGATGCAACAGCGAAGTGAGATAGTCGAGAAGATGGATTCTAACAACTGTTGTTCAATGTTTTCCACCTTGTCTTTTGTATTCAAAAGTGACCAGAATGCCAGCGAGAGCCAGTCCTTAGCAACAAGAACACCACCTTAGCAACGGTCGAGTGAAGCAGCAGCGCACGTGTGAGTGTGTGCTAATACGTGTAGATGAACTTGCGTGTGACAGACAGCAAAGAGAATGGCACTGCCAATCAGAGAAGGCAAGGGAAGGGTGTGTAGCGAAGGCCGAGACCAAAAATAAAAGGCAATCAAAATATAATCAAGTCCTCCTATTGCTGTGTTTCATGGCTGCACAGATTGAGAGGAGGGGACTTGGATAATTGGTTGCTGCCCTAGTTTCTGCCTGCCGATCTGAGTTGTATAGCATCTGACTTGAAATGGAACATGGATGTCAGTTACATTGGAATTAATAGTGCCTGCATGTCCTGGTGTCCTGCGCCCATGTGTAATCCCCCGTGAGCCACCGCCTTCCAAAAAGGAAAGTATTACGGTCACAGCCCCTTTTCTCGCCCCCTCCCGAATCGCGAACAACGTCCGAAGAGATATGCACTTCACCAGTTCAGAAAGAGAGAGTGATAGAGAGTGAGTGAGTGAGTGAGGGAGAAGAAAAAAAAATCAGAGGGATATCGTTGTCGAAAAAATGCCAAATGTATTTTGTTTAAATAGGGCTTACGATTGAAGGGCGTAGACAAGCGTAGGGGATAATAGAAAAAGGAAGTGATAGATTAGTCTTTAATCAAGGAGGTGGACTCGATTTGAGCTCGTGGGATTTGGCATGAACAATAATGGGTGTGGACATTATTTCCTCTCGACAACGTCGTACCTCTCTAACGATCTCCCTCCTAACGAAATAAGAGGAGGGCAATGCTCGACTGCATGCCTACCAGTGCGAGAGTGGATACGTGAGCTCGTCTGGGTGTTCCTCAAATTGGCCAAGCGAGCCCCTTTCCTTGACAGCGTGACTCACGCAGGTTCTAGTTTCTCCTATTGTTTATTGTTTACTCCCAAGCAATCCTCTCCTCCCGAATCCCAATACGGCTAAACCCTCTTCAAACATGCCCAAATTAGTTAATGAGAGGAGTAATTCACCAACGAGGGTAGGCATGCATTGATACTCGTCATTAAAGTCTGGTAAATTAACCCCACTCCGAACGAGATCATGCAGCCCAGGGCTTTGGGCATTGTTTAAGATGACAATACCCATTGACTCACGATTCTCACGTTATTCAATTCATTTGATAATCGGTAAACGCACGCTGATTGGCAGCATGTGCCCGGCTGCATTACGCAGCACATCTCTTCACAACGCTATCCCAGGCCTTGACTAAATCTTTGTAATAATACTTGATGAGCTTGCTTAAGACTCATCAGTGATCATTTGCTCAACACTGATTTGGTCTACACCCATTTCTCTAAGTCTTATTGTCACACGAGGCCATTCTAACAAAGCTCCGCGTTAATCCGTTCGTGATCTGAATTGGTTATTTTTATCGAAAGATACTCAGCGACAAACCACTGGAATACAGAAGATAAGTTTCCTTTAATTGGCCAAAGTACTTGATCTATTTATTCGACCAGACACTAATGCTTTATCCAATGTTCATATGACGAATTTCACTATTGTTTTAATCCATATAAAGAATAATCAGTTTTCATCTAACACAGATGTACCTACAAAAACGTTTAACTTTTCGGGAAACACACCCTTTTATGACAAAGGATATGCGGGCAAATAGGCAAAAAGGCAAATAGTTCCCCTCATGTAAGAACAGATCCACCAAATTGATAAATAGCCACTATAAGATAAAACTTCTGTTCACATGATATTGAAATTCAGTTCAAGGAGAGAAATAGCAGTAAAAAATGAAAACCTTAAACCCCAATTCTCAAACAAATGCTAACATCTTGGTCAAACACTACTAATAATTCCCCCCCCCCAAAAAAAATTCAATCACATGGTTGTCTGCTAAACAAGATTTTAGATGGAAAAAAACCCTAAATCTATGTGTATCTGTTCTTAAAAATTACATGCAACAACACAAAACAAACTGACATACATGTAGGGAAAAGGCAGGCCTGCAGTTTGTTATAAGCAGAGACGCCAAAAGGAAGTTTGACAAAATCCTGAACAGACGTTCAAATATTAAGAAATTTGAGCTAACTAAGCGTAAGGAAAGGGAAAGTATTCAAAACCTACTTTTAAAGTTCTTTAAAGGAATTTTTTGTCAGATTTTCAAGACATTTCAATAATGTTTTTTCTGATGTTCATTTTTCCTCATCAACTTTTCTCTAAGTTATTTGAAAAACCCTGAAGACTGACATCTTTGTATGGTGCATGTCACCATAAAATGTCCTACAACATTTCAACGACTTCTATTACATGTGCTTGGGAAAACTTCAGTATAAACTGATGAAAAAATTTGAACCCCAGCCAACTCTGTCAGTATCAATAACTTCCTATGAGCTAACTACCTCTCCTACTTAATTAAATGACGTGATTAATCACATCTCATGATTGATCACATTCGCGTTTGATTTCTCAGAAGCGGACTAATCACAACTCATCATCACACGGTTCTGGTCAAACCCAACAAGATCATGTGCAAACTTTGTAAGTAAGGCTCATCCTACAACAAGGTGTTAGGTGTAAGTTCATAACACGCATGAATATGTTAAGTGAATGAATAATATTGTCAGCACATTTTTTTCTTCATTTTATGAAACATTTGTTCCCGATAGTTCTGGGAATATGGATTTCAAGTTTTTAACAACAAAATACAATGCATTGATATGAATTTTTGTCATCAAACAATATACACGTTCATGCATAACAACTACACATTTCATAAGCTATTGCACAAAAACAAAAACAAAGATTCCATGAAAAAACTAAACAAAACTTTAAAAAAAAAAGAACAACAAGAATACAGTACAAATGGACTCCATGTCTTAAAGGAATTTCCTTAAAAGGTACGATGCAGAGAATATTGGCGTATCTGAACATGTATGTTTGTTCCTTGTATGGTACTTTCATGGAAAGTAAGATAGGTTTGTCAGATGCAGATTCATTTGGTCTCTTTGTATTGGAGTGAGGTCAAAATAAAATGACAGAAATCTGTTGCGTCCTGAAAGGATATCGTTCCTTTAATCACTATCAAGGATCCCCCAACAGGAATTGATAACTAATTGATTACTGCCTCTAATTGCAACACAACGCCGGAAATAGGTTAAAGGAGGTGACAGAATATAGGTGAGAGAAAGAGAGAGAGAGGGAGAGAAAGAGAGAGAGAGAGGGGGAGAAGAGAGGTAGAGAGGGGGAGAAGAGAGGTAGAGAGAGATACACAGGGGTCATGCGTAATGACTGTAAACAGTTAAATCGGACCCCTGTTAAACAAAATTTTGTGTAGAACCCCGCTAAAAACACAGCATGTATAATCGAGAAACAGAAATTTATTTCAGTTCATTTATTAAGATCACTTCCTGAATCGGAAGATAAAAAAGGAAGATAGGGTTAAAACTGCTCCATTTGAGACAGCAATACAAAGAATGAAAAACAGAAAATGAAAGAAGAGATAAAGCCAAATGAAAGAGATAGCAATACAAAGAACAACAAGAGTTGGATTGAGGAGAAATCATTTATAAAAAGAATAGAATGAGGAAAGATATAATTACTGGCTGTTAGTATCAACGCTTGAGTAAAAACAAAACAAAACAAATAAAAAACTAAAAAAAATAGAAAGATAATGGAAAATAGTGAGAGATCGCGAGAGATCGAGAGAGAGAAATAGAGAGAGGTAGAGAAAGAGAGAGAGAGAGAGAGAGAGAGAGAGAGAGAGAAAGATAGAGAGACAGTTGGCTGAAGAACAAATCGAGGTGTAGGAAAGCGGAAAGACAGGATTTGTTTAATTGGAAATGGAAATCTATGAGTACTTGGGTCTTGGGCTATGCCAAAAAATGGTCACTCAATTGCACGAGAGATTGAGGGTTGACTTCAAACTTGGCATTGAATTAGAACGGTAATCCCCTCTTCTCCCCTCCCCCTTGTTCTCTCTGCCTTTCATTGCCTAAATCTCCACCCCACTCTCCGTATACTGCTCCCTAACACACATTTTTTACCCTTTTTTTCCTGCAAAGCTCCAGCCTCGCATCATTAACAAGAAATAA